AAACCTGTAATGCCCCTTCTTGCAAAATCATAGTCCAAAGGCTGTTGTCTTTACTGGAGCATGCTTGGAGCTCCGGTGTGTGGTCTCCACTGCACAGGGAAAGGATCTTTCAGCCAGGTATAGATCTCTGCTATACCAATCTAGGCTTTGCTTCTAAGCCAGCTGAACAGTTGGATAAGAGAGCAGGACCTTTCACACTGCCAAATATTGCTTTTGTCTATGATCCAGCAGTATGGTCAAGAAAATTCAAGACATCACTTACCAAAAATTTGAGATAGCTAAGAGTAGTTGTTGTACTTGCTTTAAGTATATCCTTACAGACAAAAGAGCAACTTTGCAGCTTTGCTTAGAATTATGAGGACAGTGTCCATTTTAACTGTGTCATTAAAGTCATCCTAAAAATTAATGGAAGGCAAGATAAGTCACTAGACTGTTGAGTGTATTGCAGTCCTTAATGTGTGATTCTGTGGACCATGGTATTTAGAGAGGAATTTTCAGTGCAAGCTGTACTGAGGGAATCACAGTCTGATCATGGGGTGGGGGTTCCTCTGTACTTTGAGTTGCACAAGAGGATTTGCTGTATCCCTTCTTATTTTTCGAAAATCTTTTTGAGATTAGTTGCTCCCGTGAGATACAGCAAAAATCACTATACTCCCAAACCAGATAGAAACTGGTTTTCAGAGGGACTTTCCAAGACAAAGGAGTCTTTATTCCATTCGTACATGGTTACTGAGGAGTTACAGTTCTCCACAAACTGCCCCCACTACACTGTGAACAGTGATAAATACAGATATACAGCATAGCTCCCTTTCCAAGCCATGCCTTAGGGCAGACACAGATGGATGCTTTTGCTTCAAGCCTGATTGAAAGCCCTCAGCAGAAACCTAGCCATATTACCATTGTAGGAACACACAAATGAGTTGCTGAGGGAAGCAATTTACTGCTGCCCAATTCCTCTAGAGCTGCTGTGCATTTGCAGGCTCCTACCCTGCAGCTCCTAAGATATAGCGGTCCATCTTCTGCAGAGGAATAATGACTCGAGGAGAAGTGCTACAGAGCACAGCAGCTCAGAGAGACAACTGGGAGTCCCTGATCCTATCCTTGTGCCTCGTTTCTTTTGAAGGACAGAGCATTAATGAGGCATTGCCCTGAAATATGTAAGGAAGTAAAAAAGAGAGGGAAAATGAGCTTTCACTCAACATGAAATTAAGACGTCAAAGAACAGAATTAATCAAGATACCAACAAAACCAAGGAGAAGAAATTCTGTAATCATCTATGCATCAATATTAGAAGCTTGCATAATAAACAAGAGGAGCTTCAATTGCTCATTTGGGAGCATATTTTGACCTAATTGATATTACTGAAACCTGCTGAGAAGATCTGATTGATTGGAATATTAAAATTAATGGCTATAACCTATCTAGGAACAATCAAACGTGGGGGAGAATGGAGAAGGGAGGGGCAATCTGGCAATTGCATTGCCTGTTTGGAGACATTTGCACCACAGAAACATGCTCTCAAATATTACTGAGTTAACTTGTGTACAGGTAGCAGTACCAATTCAGGCTGAGAAACATTATTAATCTCTTCGGTATTGTTGGGAAAAGCTGTGTTTTCTTGAACGACTTCAGTCTAAATTATAGGCAGGGTTTAATGCTGCTAGTACTAAGTAGGACAAGAGGGCACAGACTCAAGCTCTGCCAGGGGAGGTTTTGGCTGGATATTAGGAAGAGATCTTTTATGGAGTGATCAGGCATTAATGGGCTGCCCGGGAAGGTGGTGGATTCACCATCCCTGGAGGTTTTCAAGATGAGACTGGATGTGGCACTTAGTGCCATGGTTGAGTAATAGTGGTAGGGTTGGACTTGATGATCTTTGAGGTCTTTTCCAACCCAGTTGGTTCTATGATTATATAATGCAACTAGTAATGAAAGATGCTTCTAAAAATTGTAGATGACTATCACCTAAGTTGGAAATGTGGCATCAATTTGCATTTATGTGTATTACGCCTAATCCTGATGGTGTAATTATGTAAATGTAAGTTATTAGTATCAGAAGTGCAGGTGTTCTTGACTTGCACATATATATTATATGAAATCAAATTACAGAACAGACAAATAATTCTATATACATGAGGTCCAGCAAATTCTGATCAAGCACAAAAAAAACGTCCGCACTTTTTCTAAACCAAACCTAATTTTCAAAAGTAAAGAAAGTAATTTTAGAGAGGGACAGAAAGGAGAGAGAGAGAGAGGTTTACACTGAACAGTATATGGAAACAATGAACAAGTAGTTGTGATCTACTGTTTCTGAAAATAAAAAGGTATTGGGGCATTCACAAGGAGCAGAACTAAAGCTCAGGAGGAAGGGTGTGTATGTGCATGTGCATGTGTGTACATGTTACTTCTTCTGCTCTGTTATAAAATTGAAATGCTAATAGTGCAGTGAAAGTGCTCAGTAAAGCATTCTAGTTGTATTTGTACTCAAGTCAGATAGTATATATAGGGTATGATGAAATATTTTCCATGTTAGCGGTATCATAGAAGGATATTAAGCACCAAATTTTGAAGACAAGTGTTTTGTAACCAGCAGGTCTGTCAGGTTTGCACCTGAAAGGCTTTAAAAATGTGTAGCAAAGAGTTGTCTGGGCTGTCGATGACCTTTTTTGGTCTCTTTTTCTTCAATAGAATAATGATAAATAATAGGCAAATAATTTGAGAAAAGATAAACGTGATGATCGGGGGTAACAGCCTCTCATTCTGGCATCTATCAGAAGCAAAGCAGTGAAATAGAAGGGGAAGAACCAACTGAATACGGAATTAAGGAAGGAGGAAATATTTAATGCCAACCACCGTGAGTTCATGGAAAACCTTTATGGAGAAAATTACTTTTTTCTAAACTTATTTTTTCAAGAAAGGCATTTGTACAACAGAACATTGTATGTAAGTGTACCACCTCCAAACAATAGCCTTTCTCAGTCAAATGTGATCTCTGATCTCATACAAGTCTAAGTAACTAGACAGCACAACATCCATACAGTGCACATCTAATGTGCAAAAGCATTGCATATCAATAGATTGTTAAATGTTAAGGAATTGTCAGAAAATGAGTTGGGTTTCTAGAGACTGTTCTTGGCCTTGTGACCCATTTCACTGGTGACCTGGGAGCAAATCAGTCAGTACTGATTTGTTGTGGATGACAGAACGTAGGTCACTGGGGTAACAGTATGTGTAAGCAGGCAGGATTTTAATGTCTGAGGGTAGGGTTATACATAGTGAATCTAGGATCTAGCTGATTTTCCTTGGTGTCAGCCTCTCTTCTACAGACTGTTGACCCTGAAAATGACTCTTTGGGGAATAAGGTGGATGATAAAATAAAAGTGAATGATGGTCAGTGCAGAAAAATGATCAAAAGGTTATATGATTCTTGAATATTTAAACTGAAGAGTGCCATAGGCAGTATTTGGCTTTGATAACAACTCTTGTCCAGCTCTTGTACCTGTAACTCCAGAAGGTGTCAACATGCTGGTGAAGGGCATTGAGGGTCATAAGAACAGCAAAAGAAGTGGAAATACCAGGAACGAAAGCCATGAGCAGTGCCATTTGTTTAGTTTACTCAAACAATAGAGGATCGTTAATTGGCATGGAAAAGTGAAATTTGACACTAAAAGACCCTTAAAAAATACCAAATGCAGGCATAGGAATGTAGTATCTAGAAAAAAGGGGAAATCAAATTAGGTGCACATTTTTAAAGATAAAAGCAAATGACCTCTACTGCGACTTGATAAGAGTGGTGATAGAATTTCTTCAGTGAGAATTTTGTAATTAAGTTTGATATGTATTAATCTCTGGAAAATTCACAGCATGCTTTAAACAGAAGTCAATTTGAGAGTCTCACCTCTTTGTGCATGGAAACACAGCCACATAGGTAGAAGGGAGAGATTCCCTTCAGCCAAGATCCAGGAAAATTAGGGAGGACAGTTGTGGATTTCTTTTTCCTGTTTGCATTTAAAGAATGTAAATGCAGCTGTTTCATTGGTGGTGCTTGATTTACTGTTGCTACAACATATAAAGCTGTTATGAGAAAAGGAATCACTTTGATCTCTGTCCATCGGACAGCCTTGTGTAGTCAGCCATTCACCACCACATTGCTGCATGTGGTTCTCAATTTCCTCTGCAGATTTCTATGTTTCTTTTACTTTTTTCAAATATCTAGCTCTCCTTTATCACTTTGTTAAAAATCAAAAGTAGGAGTGGCTAATGTTAGTGAAAACGGTAAGAGTGTCATTTATTTCTCTTTTACTTCATGAAGAGTTTTGAAGTCCATGTCAACAGTAAGATTGATTTAGATGTTTGTAGGGTCACAATATGCTGATGCTGATTTTACTTTTTAGGATGCATAGTATTTCTACCAGTTCTTGTAAAGATGACCTTTTCCTTTTATTCCTGTTGAGCTAAGCAGAGTAATCTGGAAAATACACCACAGCATATTGAGACATGAGCATAGCCTAGACTCATAGCTGGGAATCAAAAAGGGGGAAAATGCAAGCAGTAACCTTGCATAAGGATAGCTGTAATTAAGCACTGTCAGAGGAAATAGTATTCAAATCCCCAGTATCTAATATTCAAGGACATCAAAAGGGACAGGGTTTATACATTATCAGTGGCAATTAAGAGTAAATGTGACTGAGTCACATGTCAATGCCAGTTGTGTGTCTGGTGGAGCGGGAATAAATACAAATGACTGAAGTAAGAATAAAGGAAGAGTCAATCAATGAAGCATTAGTGTTTTCAGGGATGCCTTCCTGTCACTGGTACAATTCTACCAACCTCCAAATGCCTGATTTTGAAAAAGGGGGACTGTTAAGGTTAATAGCTTCAGTGTATGATAGCTTCATGTTGACAGTATTCCTGAAGGCAAATGGAATTATGCAAGCAAAATCAGAGCTTAGTTTGAAAGTCAGGCTTTCTGTTAACAATACCTAATTTTTTTTTTTCAGAGTATGAAGGATCTGGGACAGAGGTTCAGAGAAAACACTCAAAATGTGGACTTTGCAAATATAGGGCTGAGTGTGATGAAGATGCAGAAAATGTTGGGTATGTAATGTTTTCCTTAATATCACTAAACAAAAGGGAAAAAGTTGTTAAAAGAAAAAGTGTTACAGGCAGTTGAACCTATCAGTGCAAAGCTTGGACCTAAACATTAAAGTTGAACTGGCGACCTGAGTCAGTCGCATCTTCTGAACTCACTGTGACATTTGACCTCTTAGATGCACCCAGGGGAAAATCAATGAAAAATATTAATTACTTGTCAAAGTTGAAAACAAATTATCAAGAAACAAGAAGCTTTTAAAGACAATCCATAATGCAGAAACAGATCCACCAAATGTCCCTATTCAAGGTGCTTGGTGGTTAGAGTATACCCTGGCCATGCAGGCTCTGTGTGGCTGTCAGAAAGGGCAGAAAAATCATGGAGGAAAGGGCTTCTTTTGACAGCTCCATGAGGCATTAAGAGTTTTTTAGGTGGTAAAAGAAGTCCCATCTGGTGAGGCTTTGTTTTCTCACTGCTGTGGATACCAGTATGGAAGAAACCTAACTAGGGTCTGGGCTGATGGCAGGTTCTGGGGTCGCAGCTGCAGATGCAGGGTGTGAAGGTGTTTGAGAGATGTGAAAATGGTACATTTTTGTGTACGCAGAGGGAATGGCATCTCAGAATAACAGCGCTTGAACATCACTGATCAGAGGAAGCATCACTCTCCCTTCTCTTGTCTTCCAGCTGGAATCCATTTCATGTTGAAATATGTCTTAATTGCACAAGATTTTATTACGGGATATCAGCAAGAAGAAATCTCAGGCACTAAAACAGCTTAGCACTAATATTCAAGATGTGTATTCAGGATTAAATCATAGCATACAAGAGAAACTAAAATGGTAATAGTACTCGTGAACACTAGCATGATACTTCACGTTCATAAAATGCCATAGTCCTGAAGCAGGCTTACTATTTCCTGGAGAGACAAATGAGCTGTAGCTGTTTTTTATAATACTAATAATTTTCTGCAATATTGCCTTGGTCTGTTTCATTTATGACTGGTAAGATGGGTATAGATTTGTTTGTTATATGCACTGAAATGTGCTTTTGGCTTTGGAAAATAAATCCTGGGGCATTCAACTTCAATAAAAGCTTGCCTAGTCTTTCTGCACTTGTGGAGCTGCATTCATGCAGCTATATTGTGTCTATAAGAGAGTTAGGATAAAGCTGAGGAGAGTGGAAGATTTATTCCCTACATCCTACTCATAAAATGGAGCCATGCTTCTGCTTCTTGACAATAGGAGGGGTGCTCTTTTGCCTCTAAGATTTCTGTAATTAGTCCTCATTAAAAAAATATGTGAAAACAAAATTTATTATGTAGAAAATACTCAAAAGTTAGAAAATATTCCCATAAGGGTTATTCACAATTTATCAGCTAATTATTTTTCAATTTTGTCAGTTTTCCAACCTAAGTAATTTAAATTTTTTTACAGTAACTCTGAGTATTAGAATAGGCTTTAGTGATATTCACTGTCCATTTAGACTTCGATTAAATCAGGCTCTGTTAACACAAATTGCCTTCACAAGGTTGATTTTGACAAGGTACATAGCAAATTACAGACTTGCTTGAGAAGAAATTAGGAGTTGGCTTATTTTTTTTCCTAAAATCAAAATGTTTACCTGACAGAAACAAGATGAGATTAAAGTCTTCCAATTGGCAAACTCTAGGAAAGCACCTCTCATGAATGCTTTTTACATCTAGTTTTTACTCCCTTTCCTGTTGGGTTTCAATGTGGTTTTTAACATCTTAAAATTATATCATAACATATAAAATTATTGGCAGCAAAAATATCTTTCATCAGCCTTGTATAAACACTGCTCGTCTTAATTATTATTTAATTCAAATCTATACCATATTGCAAACACTACCACCCCTAATCCTAGAAAATCGCAAAACACCCTAATTTAATAAAAATATTTTGTTTTGATTTTCCTTCTTAAGACATGAGAATGGCCACTGAAACTTTTTTGGGTAGTGGGGTAATGTCTACTGAACCACAAACAAAAAGTACATTTAATTCTACTCAAGTAGAGGACTGAGTCCTGGATAGGTCTTGGTTGCACTTTGTGATGTTAAAACACTTAATAGAGTGATCTATATGATTACATTTGAAGGGAATTTTTCTTCATGATAGTAACTGGATGAGTTAGCTGAACTGTCTCTTAATGTTCAGTAGATTATCTCAAGGCATATTCATGATACATACAGTAAATATACAATTATGCATTTTTTTCATCCTCTTTTCTAATTCTTGCAATCTGAGACCTTACAAACATCAGCTCTTTCTGCTCCATGTGCTCTTGAGAAGCAAAAATAGTGTCTGTACTCCTGATTTATGAATAGGGAAATTAAATTACCGATAAAACTCCATAGAGATGGTCTGAACTTGCTCAGACTCAGCCTTGGGACCAACTTTGAACAGGAGCTTGGACTAGATGACCCCTACACATCCCTTCAAGCCTAAATTATTCTGCGATTCTGTGTAGTTGCCAAATTTTGGTGCTTTTTAAAAGCAAATTTAAACAAGATCAGTTGTGCAGAGCTAAAACGCATTCCATATTATGAGTTAGTGATGTTAATTTTTTGTTGTTCTTAAATTGTGTTTTCCCCTTTTAAAAAGTTAGGGATTTTCAGTTTTCATGCTTGGTGTTAAAGCATTATGGCTGTCTCTTGATCAAAGTTGCTGCATATGCTTCTATTACACTAGACCACACATAGTCTTGAAGAGTTCAGACTTTGCACAGAGTTTTAGATTTGTATCTTCATTTTATTTGATTTCACAGAAACATTACCTACCTAAACCAGAAGTGGTAAAAATGCATAGTAAACTGAATGCAAAAATATAAGCAACTTTTTATTATCCACAGCCTCTACAAAAAAATTTCAGTGTTGATTCTAAGTGGAGGAGTTGAGACAAAGGAATAGAGTGTCAGGAGAGGGTCATCATAAACAGCTTACTTAGAAATTTTGTATTCAACTGTATGCAAATCAGTACATTATTTCTTTATCTAAATGCAAAAAGGAATCAGGTTGAGGAAACATCACAGAAATATATTTCTCCAGATTTTACTTCTTTTCTCATACAACTTGTATTTTAAAGAGTTGTTAGTTTATGGTCAGTCTTTTCAAGACCATAGACGATCGCTTATGAATGCTTTAGTCTCGATTGCATAAACACGTAATATGCCATATTGTCTGAACGGTGGTTTTCTGTAGGTCTGAGGTAACAGGGTGCAAGCAAGGGATTTACATGGGTTGGCTGTGATTTTTGTTTTTCCCATTTAGCGACAAAATTGAAACAGGTTGTGTATGTCATTGGAAAAGCTGCTGCCTGAAACCGTTCAGCCAGTACTTCCCTTTCTACTCTGAACAAAATATCTCTCTGGCCTCCACTATGTTGAAAAGGCAACATACTACACATAATGGTGTGAAGTGTGTGGCAGGGGAGTGAAAAACTACACAAGAGTTTGGTCATTTCGAATTGTTGTGTGGGAAACTGGTCAGAAGCCCAAAGACCTAAGCAGTATTATTATGGTTGTGTGTTTTCTGCTGTAATTTTGAATGAGAAATGTAGCCAGGTGAGATGTGGAGATGGAGGTGTCAGCAAAAAGGTTGGGGTCACCTAGAACTGGTGGGGTAAATACTCTAAGTCACTATCCCAGACAGATATGATTTGCTGTTGATAAAGTCTGGGGTATCCAGACTGCAGCTTTTTACTTAGCACATACTGGGTGTTTCAGTTCTACTGACTGATCAAGACATAGAAATAAACAAGGTCATTCTAGCAGTACACAATCAGAAGAGAGTATACTGATAATATTAAAACACTTTAAATAACAGAGCATGAATGCAAAACAAATTAAAACAGGTGTGGTTGCAAAAGAATTTTCATCAGTGTAGTGCTTAAATCAACTCTGTTTTCAATGAAAGAGGTCGAATATTTGTAATCCTGCTGTGGCTTTTAAGAACTCTGAGTGAATTTTTTTAAAACTCAGGTAAGGTTCAGTGTAATTTTTATAAGGCTTCTAACAACATGATGCCTCAGTTAACTGCATGTGACTGAAACAAATTATTATTTACAGTCTTTTGAGAGCTGAATAACTTTTTTTTATATACAATAGCCACCTGTAGCACTGGCTACTATTATGATTAGAAAGGTGGGCTCTTAAGTAAATATATTTCTTCATAATACTTCAATTTTTGAATGGTCCTGATTTCCGTAGGTTTTTTAAGGCTTCTTACTATTACCTGGTATTTTTTTCCACAAGTTTCTTCTTGCACATACCAAAGTTCATGTTCAGAGTAAAGGAAAAAATTCAGTACTTAAATATAAAGTATATATTTATAGGAAATATCAATTGCATAGTAATAGTATTTTGATATTGACATTTAAAATGTACTGAATCAATTGAAGAACAGGGGTTACAGCTCTCATTTATTCCTTCGAAAGTGAAGTATATTTCCAACCCAAAAAGTATTATTGTTTATGAGAAGTTATATCCTCTGCTCTTGCAGTGTTTTCTGTGGGGTGTCTCTTTCCTCTTGCATGCCAAAGTATTGTTAGATACCCAAATGAATCAACATGCCAACATATTTTAAGTGTTAGAAGGAATGTTGCTTTAAAAGACATTTTAAAACATATTGTAACCTCAGGAAAATAATATCCAGAATGAAATTGTGAACTGGAGAATAATTTAGATTGGAAGGCATCTCTAGGAAGTCGTCTGGCCCAGGCTCCCTCTGCAGCTAGGGTAGTTCATTCATGTGGCTCAAGGGCTTCTCCGGGAGACCTCTGACAATCTCCATGGAAGAAGATTTGACATGTGGGCATCTGTTCGAGGGCTAAGCTTCTCTCACTTTGAGGAGTAATTTCCTTGTCTTCAGTCAGAATTTCTCTTGCTGAGACTTGCAAATGTTGTCTTTCAGTCCTCTACTATGCACCTCTAAGAGTTCCTCTCTCCATCTTCTCGATAATCCCTCTTAGGTTGTTGGTGACAGCAGGCA